GCGTGGAACACCAACGCCTTCGACAAGCTGGTGCTGCCCGCCGACCAGAAGGAGCTCATCCTCGCTTTCTCCGAGTCGCAGCTCGAGGGCAGCAACTTTGACGACGTCATCTCGGGCAAGGGCAAGGGCATCATTTGTCTCCTGTCTGGTCCGCCCGGCGTAGGCAAGACGCTGACAGCGGAGGCGGTGGCCGAGAACCTGAAGAAGCCCCTTCACGCGATTGGGTCTGGGGATTTGGGCAGTGATCCGTGGGAGGTGGAGCGGGGGCTGTCGTCGATCCTCGAGCTGGTGTCGCGGTGGAACGCAATCCTGCTGCTGGACGAGTGCGACGTCTTCCTCGAGGCGCGCTCGTCGCACGACCTCGAGCGCAACAAGGTGGTTTCCATCTTCTTGCGGACGCTCGAGTACTACGAGGGCATCATGTTCATGACGACGAACCGCGTCGACAACATTGACGCCGCGTTCCAGTCGCGCATCCACGTCAGTCTCGAGTACCCCGACCTGACATCGGCATCGCGCCGGCAGATCTGGACCAACTTCCTGAGGGGAACCACGATCAAGAGCGGCGTGACCGATGCCGAGATCGAGCAACTGTCGGAGCTCAAGCTCAATGGCAGACAGATCAAGAATATCCTCAAGACAGCGCAGCTCCTGGCGGCCAGGAAGAAGAGTCCCGTGCTCGACCGCAAGTTCATCGACACAGTACTGGCGATCGAGAAGAAGAGGCCCGGAGCTCCCTCGACGTTGACGCACTACCTCTAAGGGGCTTACTAGGGCGAGGAGTCGGGGGCGAGGACATGCAGCACTGGAGGGGTCCGTTCTGCTTCTGGGATTCGGGGTTCGGGGTTCGGCTGGCGTACACGGACATGTGCCGTTTTCGTACTATTTGGGGGTTTGTAGACGCAGCTGCCTGGGCGTGTGGATGTTGGGAAGTACTGAGATACCAATCGTCTTGTTTGTATGGAAAGGGGATTCACGATAGCGAGCGTTGCTTTAGTATGGGCAAATCTCCTTTCATATATACACGTGCAATTAAATTGAGCAATTGCGTACACATTTTCGCGCTTGTTTCCCTGGTCCGGCCGTGGTGAGAATGAAAGCTGCGTGAAGAGAAACCGAAAAACAACACCCCTTTTCCTACATGTAGGCGGGGCCTCCTCACTCGCCTCAGCGAAGATCCACCAGCTCCTCTTCCTCAACGTCATCCTCCTCTGTAGACTCGTTGCTAAACTTGGTGACCTCATCCTTCTTCGCGCTCTGGATCTGCGCGAGGAATTTGTCGCCGGCCTCCTTGTTGCCGGCAAAAAGCGTGTCGGCGACCTGACGCTGGGGCGTCTCGCCCAGCCACTGGAACAGCGAAAAGTCGCGGAACTCGTCGGCGCGGAACACCTCGAGCATCTCGACGGGCTCGTCGCCAATGTTCTCGACAAAATGGCCCATGTTGGCGGGCACGATGCCGACGTCGCCAGGGGTGTAGTCAAAGGTGCGGGCAGTCCCCGACGAGGCAAAGACGGTCACGCGGGCGCGGCCGCGGATGAAGAAGGACCACTCGTCGGCGTTAGGGTGCCAGTGCATTTCGCGCAGGGCACCGGGCTCGATGATGACATGGGCAGCAGCCACGGTCTTGGAAATGGGGAAATTCTTGGAGTCAGTGATGCGCACCTCGCCGCCTGATGTCTTCTTCGGCTCCTGGTCGAGCATCTTGTGGGTGAACTGGTACTTTGACTTCTTGACGAACTTGCCCGTGGGCTCCTCATCCTTGATGGGGCCCGGGAGCGAGCCCTGGAAGATGTACTTCTCCGTCTTGGGGATGTGGTCAAAAACCTCGGGGGGCAGGTGGAAGTTCTCGGCCAGCACCGAGCGCGGCGTGTGCATGAGCCAGTCGGTCAGCAAAAAGGTCGACTCCTCGGAAAAGCCCCCATCGTCAAAAATCAGCAGAAACTCGGTGCCGTTCTCGCCAAGGCCCTGCAGCGAGTGCGGCACGCCGCTGGGAAAGTACCACAGGTCGCCCTTCTTCAGGTCGTCGATGAAGCTGCCGCCCTCGTAGTCGAGCGCTGTCACGCGCACCTCACCGTCAAGCACGTAGGCCCACTCGGCCTCCTTGTGCCAGTGCAGCTCGCGAATGACGCCCTCGCCCAGGCGCATGTTGACGCCCGCCAGCTGCGTGCTGGTGCCCATCTCGCGCACTGTTGTCTGCCGCGTCCAACCGCCCTCCTGTGCCCCGCCATCGCCATCAGCACACACTCAACAACTCACACAATTCAACTCGCAAGACAGGGAGGGACAAGAGCAACTAACGCCGATCCGAATGTGCGAATCCACAAAACTCCACCTCAAATTCGGCACATCGCCGCTGTCGGTCGACGGCGGCCGCACGAGATCCGGGTTCTGGCGCGCGCGCTCTGGGTTCCAGGGCCCGAGCACAGACCCGCCAAGCCCGTTGCGGTACGGGAGCGGGTCGAGCTTGTTGCCGACCGAGTCAACGGCCGAGTCGAGCGGGTCCCGGAACCCGGGCGTGTACGGGTTGGTCGGGGACGCGCCCTTCTTGCGGAAGCGGGCCGGCAGCGGCTTGCCGTCGAGCAGCCGCTGGCGCGGGCTGTCCTGCACCGGGACGGCGAGCGTCAGGGTTGCGGCCGCCGCGAGCAGGATGCTGGCCGAGGGGAGATGCATGGCTGACTGAGTGTCGTCGTCGTCGGTCGGGGGTGTGCTTTGGCTTGGTAGGGGTTGTGGCCGGAGATGAGTGAGAGCCGGGAGTAGAGGGGGGGGGGGGCGGGACAATGGTCAATGGCGATGAGAGGGGTCGAGCATGTCAAAGGCGTATTTATACTCAAGACTCGTCCAATCTTGAGTTGAAGTCCCCTACCCGAACTCGAACAATGCTGCTGCTGCTTGCGTAAGTACCCCCCTACGCTACTTGGAGTGTGTATGTAGGTACCTTATGTGCATACACACACACACACACACACACACACACACACACACACACACACACACACACACACACACCACACTCGGACACTCGTGTGGCCTATGCCCGCTATCGACCCCTAATGGGAGCCTTGTAGAATCCCCTAATGCGCTGTCTTACAATTTGCTACCAACCAAGTGGCCGACGAAGGCCGACCGACGATGCCGAACAATGCCCGGGGAAGGGTGCTGCTTCACCAGGGCAGGGCACTCACACCTTCTCACCCCGCATCATTGCCCTTTCCGACCATGCTCGGTCCATGCGGGGGTGGGGAGAGAGAGCATGGACAAAAACAAAGGCCATAATACGAACCCGAAGAGGGTGTCTCGCCAATGGGAGAGCACCTCGACAAAAGCAGCAGGAGACACTGGACAGGCAAGACGTGGTGCTGAGTAACCGCGGCGGCGATGTGACGGGTAGTGCCCCGTGTGCCCTGGGCTGCAGCAGCAGCGCTGGCCGAGAATGCAGCAAGCAATCAGGCCTCACCGAGCGCGAATGCATTGGGAGCCAATCTAATGACATCATTCCCGAGGCTGGGGATTGGCAATTGGGCAATTGGAGCTCCCCTTCTTGTTTCCTTGTTGTTCCCACGTCCCTCGGCTGCGAGACTGCCTCCCCCGCTGAGGAGTCGCTGTCCACACAAAGCAAGCTAGCATTTCTTGCGGTCCCGTGCTGAGTCTGACAGCCCCGACCGAGACCAGCGTGGCTAGCCAGCCCAGGATTCGGGGATTTGCATTGGTCTAGCCCATGGAGTTTGGTTCCATTGGGGCCGGAATCTCGGAGTGCAGCAATATTTATAATTCCATCACCACCCCTACCCCTGATTGACTCGTGCAGCAGCTTGAGTCGTTGGTTCCGATTCTCGAGCTGATGCAACACCGAAAACCAACCTCTCCCCCACACTCACTTGCACCACCGCCGCCATGCCATCCCGACCCGATGAAGAGACGCCACTGCTGAACCCAATCAAGTCGCCGTCGCGCTCGCTGGCGACGCGATGGCGCAAACACATGCTCGTCGACGTGAACCGCGACTGGGCCGACGTCGTCCTGATCCTGTGCTACCTAATAACTGGCCTGCTCGACAGCGCCTCCATCTCCGTATGGGGTTCCTTCGTGTCGATGCAAACCGGTATGTCCACCCCTCACCAGCCCTCCCCCTCCAAACTCACTCCTCCATACAACAGGTAACACGGTCTACATCGGCCTCGGGCTCGCCGCCCCCAGCGAGTCAACCCGCTGGATCAAGTCGGGCTGCTCCCTCCTGTCCTTCTGCCTCGGCTCCTTCCTCTTCAGCCGCTTCCACCGCTTCTTCTCGCCTAAGCGGCGCTGGGTGCTGTGCGCCTCGTTCGCCGCCCAGGTCGCCCTGACCACCGGCGCCGCCCTCATCGTCACCGCCACCGGCCCGCCCACCAGCAAGGAGCAGATCGGCTGGCACATACTGCTGCCCATCTCCATGGTGGCCTTCCAGAGCTGCGGCCAGGCCGTCACCAGCAGGGCGCTCAAGTACAACGCGCTGACCAGCGTCGTGCTGACGAGCATCTACTGCGATTTGTTCTCGGACGCCGAGCTGTTTTCAGTCAAGAATGCCGAGAGGAACAGGCGGTTGGGCGCGCCCCTCTTCTTGCTGCTGGGGGCCTTTTTGGGCGGCAAGTTGGCGCATACCGAGCTCGGCGTTGCGGGCGCGCTGTGGACGGCGTCGGTGCTCAAGACTATCGTCGTTTTTGTCTGGTTCTTTTGGCCGGCGGATCCCGAATCTGAGGAAGAAGATTAGGGGGTGAAGGGTGGTGCCATGATGGATATCCTGATGCTTTGGGTGAAAGACACATTGGTTCCGATATGCAATCCACTATGAGTTTTCCTGCTGGGCTCAATCCAAAAAAAAAAAAAAAAAAAAAAAACACATGCAGAAGCCCGAGAATCAAAATAACATATCCAACGTCTCCTGGATGTGTAAGACGTTCAACAACATATCGTTTCTTCCAACGTCCTACATGGAGAATGTGAGATGATCGCCCACAAAAAGAAATGACTGCCTGTTATAGGGATCGAACCTGATGTTTGCATGTCGTGAGAGGATACAAATGCAACGCATTAGCCACTATGGTAAACAGGCTTCTTGTCTCTTGATATTCGGGCTTGCTGTTTGAATACTTCGCTCACGGCGGCGGGCAGCTGACTCGCGACAAGAAACCAAAAACGCACCCTTCATACGCCTGGAGTGCCATCTGTATCATAGACACCGCTGGCAGCTGCCATTAGCTGAGGGAAAATTGGGCAAAGAAGTTGGAGAGCAGGTTCAAAATCAGGAGGGCAGATCCTTAGGGGTAGCCACGGCAAGTGTTGTCAGTGAAAGATTTGAGGTGAGCCTGAGGTTGTGTTGCTATGTTTTCCCCGTTAATGGGGCGAGGTTGGATCTTGTTGGATGCTGCACCGGCCATACCAAATTGAGGAGTGATAAGTGCCAGTGGCTTCTTGGTAGGTTGAGCCCCTAAGGTTCTAGGCCAACTTTGAACGCCCCAGCTCGGAAAAGAGATGACTCACAGGGTAACTTTGATACTAAAGTTTAAGCCTGGGAAATTGTATAAATACAACTGCCTGCCGCCCTCTTCAGCCCAGTTCTTTTCCCCGCACACGTTCTTGAGCAGCCTCCACAACTCCCATACCACGCAAGGCGAAGAAGCCTCACCAAAAGACTTTCCGCAAGAAGAGTCCTAGGAAGACACAAGTGATCATCATGTCGAAGATCACAGTCGCCGGTGTTCGCGCGCAGGTCCAGGAGGTCCTCAAGTTTGCCAACGATGAACGTAAGCGCAACTTTGTAGAAACGGTCGAGCTGCAGATATCTCTCAAGGGTTATGATGCGCAGCACGACAAGCGCTTCTCGGGTGCTGTTCGCTTCCCCCTCGCCCCTCGCCCGCAAATGGCCGTTTGCCTCCTCGGTGACCAGCACGACCTCGACCGCGCCAAGCCACATGGCATTAACACCATGTCGGTCGACGATCTGAAGAAACTCAACAAGAACAAGAAGCTGATCAAGAAGATCCTGTGTCTGGCTGTGGCAGTCGGAAACGTGCAGATGACAGCAGATGAGCTGGTGGGAAACCTCATGTTGGCGATCAACTATATGGTGTCGCTGCTCAAGAAAGGCTGGCAGAATGTCGGTAGCCTGGTCATCAAGTCTACCATGTCCCCTGCTCGCCGCCTTTACTGAGCCCCATCGGCGACCGTTTAGAGCGGTTGCTAGATAGGCGAGGGGTAGGTGGGAGCAGAGACTTGGTGGCCTCTGGAGGAGTTTGAGGCCATTCACACCTTGTGTTAGCCTGCCACCTTTACTAAGCCCCGTCGGCGTACTGTTTAGAGCGGTAGCTAGACAGGCGAGGGGTAGGTGGGAGCAGCTGTCTGGTATTCCAGGAGTCTAAGCTTGCCGCCTTTGCTGAGCCCGGTCGGTACACTGTTTGGAGCGGTTGCGAGACAGGCAAGGGAGAGGGGCCAGCCTTGAGGAGACCTAGGTAATGCCAAACCGATGGGCGACAACAAGTCATAGTTTTAGCTGAAGACTCCTCAGGCCGTAGAATTGGTAGATTGAGAAAGGAGATAGGCAATGCACAGTTTTTGACCAATGGTAAAATATGTTGAACCTGAAGCTGGCTATATGTTTTTGTTGCACGTAGTGGTATCGAGGGCTCAAACATGGAAAAACGAGTGTTGATTTCTTCTTCGATCGTTGGAAGCCGAAGGCTTCCAACTGCTCTAAATACTGCGTACAATGGGGTCCGTTGTTGTGGCCATTCCAGGCCTAGAATTGATCCACGCAGTAGTTTCAATAGAATACCAGCGATCGGACCGATCGCTGGTATGGACGCTATTCGCTGGTATGGAGGCTTGGATTCGTGTGACACACCCCCCAGGTCTTGGTGTTTTGACGGCAAGACCTGTTTCCTCCAGAGAATCCGAATCAAGAAGTGAAATTCTAGCCAATTGGCCTACAAAACGAATGTGTGTAAGGAAATGAAGCTATTCGCAGCTTATCCGATGAGTTGCCGAATGTCTTGCAAGTTGAGCATGCCTCTGAACTGTTCGAATTTCTGGCGAGATAGATTCTTCGTGAAGCCGTCGGCTGGCATCTCGGCCGTGGGAAGGTATTCCAGTTGGAAGAGGCCTTTCTGATACTCCTGTTTTAACCACATGTTCTGGATATCCACGTGCCGGAGCCTGGTGTTGATTCTATCGCCGTCGTTGACCACAAGCCGGATGGTTTGGAGGTTATCGCAGTAGACTTTCAATGGAGTGCCGAGGTCCAGGGTGATATCGCGAAATAGCCGTTGTAGCGATACTGATTCACCAACTGTTCGTTGCAAGGCTAGTAGCTCTACTTCCGTGGTTGATGTGGTGACTGTCTCTTGCCTCGAGGCCTTCCAAACCACTGGTCCTCCAAACAGTAGGATAACGTAGCCTTGCGAGGATCGTCTGGTTGGCTCGTCATCCGCGAAGGAGGCGTCTGAGGCTATAACAAGAAGCTCGCCGTCGTTGTATCCGTCGTACATGAGGGCTAGGTACCGTGTTCCGTAGAGGTAGCGAATACACTGGTCGGCGGCGGCGTGATGAGCCTCTGTGGGGTTCAGAAGGTGCTTGCTGAGCTCTGAAGCCGCGTGAGCAACGTCAGGGCGTACTATCACGGCGGCGTAGAGGATTGAGCCAATCTTTTCTTGATAGAGGAGTACGCTCTGTGGGCTTGCGTTGTAGCCTGGTGGAGCGCGTGGAAGATCAACTGCTGGAATTGGAATCGTTAGTGTTGGTACGGTAGTGGTGATGAGGCCGAATCTGGCCGTAACCTTCTCGATATAACTGTCCAGAGCTAGGAAGATTTGCCGTTTCGAACGGTCGCGGAGTATTCTGATGCCAAGGAACTGTTTGACTTCCTTCTTCTCGTGCATTTCGTACTTTTCCTGTATCCGCTGAAATAGCTGTGAGGCCTCTGCCTTGTTTTCTTCGCGAAAGAAGCCCAGAATATCATCAACGTAGAAAAGGATAAGGACGTGGTCGTTAACGAAGATACAGGGTTCCTCAGTTGATTGATCTAGGCGTAGTTCTGCGAGGAAGGCTGAGATTTCGCGAAACTAGAGAAGAGGGGATTCTCGTAAGCCGTAGAGTGCTTTGTTTAACTCCAGAATCATTCCTTCTTCTTCAAAGCTTGGAGGCATCTTGTAGAAGACTCCTTTGCGGATGTTGCTATTTAGAAAAGTGTTCACTACGTCGAATTGCCGAACCTCAAGATTAAACCGAGCTGCCACGGCGAGTATGGTACGCAAAGACCTTGCTACGAGGGTATGGGCGAAGGTTTCTTTAAGCCCTAGAGGCTAGAGATCGCCTCGGACTATAAGTCTTGCTTTGTAGTTGAGGTTACCGTTAGGCCTAATCTTATAAGAAAATACCCATTTGAGTGGTAGAGGTTTGGGGCTGTTGCTAAACGGTTGTTGTTGTACTTTCCGATACGTTCCTTTTACTAGGAGAGCCTTCAATTCGGTATGACAAGCTTCTAGGAACCCTTGGCCGTGTAGGTGGTTTTTCAACTGTTTAATTGACTAAGGTAGTGATAGTAGGTCGCCGTAGCTAACTGGCTTTCTTACAGCCGTAACGAAGGCGCTATAGACGGCTTGGAGATCTCCGTCTTCGTAGTTATATAACGGTAAAGGTAGGAGAACGGCGTTGGCCATGGCCTTTAGTCTTTCGCTTCATCGTGAAGCGGTAGAAGCCGTGGCTGAGGCTGTGGTAGAAACCGCTGGGGCCGTTGCTGGCGTAGTCGTTGAACCCGTTGTAAGCGTGGCCGTTGAAGCCGTTGTAAGTATGGCCGTTAAAGCCGTTGCTGTAGCCCTTTCGCTGTAGCGTTGAGCTTGGCGCTCTGGAGCCATATCTTCGGAATCGCCGTTGCTTTTGTTATATGTGGTTGGCTCAGGTGTACCTTCAGGCGTTAAAAGTCCTTCTGTTGCCGTGATAGTCCCTACCCCCGAGTTCTAGCGGACTGAAGGCTCTACTTCTGGCTCTGGTTCCGGCTCTGGCGGAGTGGTGGCAACGGTGATACTATCGAGGATAACTTCGTTGTTTCCGAACAAAGAGGTCGTATCCCTAAAGACGTGAGTATCTGGCAGCGATAGCGATTCTACCATTCCTTCGTACGTTGCCACTGGAAGGCTGATACTCTGTTCCTCTGATAGATCGAAGAAAACCGTTTCGTCAAAAGTAACGTCACGAAAGTTAATAACTCTTTGTAAGGCTGGTACCCAGATTCGGTAGATATTTAAGGCTATATATCCTACCAGATAGCCAACGTGCGCCCTGGCGTGATTATTATAGTGAATCTTCATCCTTTTCTCTTTGAGCGGCGTTTCCAAAGAATAGGCTCGGCAACCATAAGCGTGGAGGTTACTCCAGTTGGGCCGTAGGTCTTACTTAAGCCATACAAGGCGCGTTGGCTCGTACTAGCGGTGGTGGGCTCTGAACCAGGCTAAGAAGACCTCCAGTGGGCTGATCCAGTTGTTCAATTGAGTAGGGCTTCGGTTAAGGAGGTAGATTGCGGCGTGGTTACTTTCAACCCACAGGTCCTCCGGTAGGTTGGCGGCGATGAGCATTGCGTAGGCCTTGGCCTTGATTACGCCTCCGACCCTCTCTGCCGTTCCGTTTAGCTCTGGTGTAGCTACTGGTAAAGTCTCTATATCGATTCCTTCGTTAGAAGCCCAGTTCTCGAAATGAGAGCGTTGTTTATGGGTCCAGTTGGAAAGAAAGGTTAAGTCGTTATCCATCCTAATCTTATAAACAGAGAGGCCGAATTACGTGTGTACCCAACCTATAAACCGGATCATTAACGGTGGCCCATTAGACTTTCGTTTCATTGTGAGGCCGTAGATCATACCGTTATATTCCTCCAGAATGGGGAGAAGGTAGCGGTCGTCGTTGTAGCCACAAGGTTACATGAAGAAGTCGATGGAGATACGGTAGAACGGCTGTTGGGAACGAGTCTCTGGCGCTCTTCGCGATATCACGTTTTTCGCCTTTGCTACCCTACAAGACTGGTAGTCTTTTAGGCTTGTTGTTGCGAGCTGTACGCCCTTGACGTTA